CCCTATAAATATAAGCCCTGTGTTGTTTTCTGTTCACTGTCTTTGCGCATAACCTGGTTGTTCTGTTCTGTTCTGTTCCTGTTCCTGTTTCCAGTTTTGGATTTTGTGTATATAAAACTAAATTGCTGTGCTTAGATCCAATCTCTCAACTTCATTTGCAACCAGGCTGTGACAGCATCATATAAGAAAGGACTGTTTATAATTCACTAGAATGAATCAGATTTTTCCAACATTACGTATGAGAGATATGACCGTTTAGGGTGAACTGATTCATGAGAATAAAATTTAAAAAACTGTACAATGTGAGACAGAGCGGATCCAAATCTGTGATGTTTACAGATTTAATTGGTGTCAGTGTGAATGCTGAACACAGTTTTGGTTTAAGCATGTATTTCATGTTACTGTTTAAGTAGCTTCACCATTTTTTGCTACTGTTGTTACTCTGTTGGATGCTATATTTTCTACATATGTTTAAAACATAAATTAGATTCCTCGTACGTGATTTCATTTCAAAACATGGTACTGTATGTTTTACCTCATATTGGTTGTTTTTACATTGTTTATTTTGCTACAGTATCTTGTCACCTGCATCGGTTTAGATCTCTTTCTGTCTCTATCCCTCAGCTTCTTTTTTTGTCTCACCTGCTTATTATTGTCTTTTGCAGCTGCTATTTGTAGATCAGACATGTTTCTGAAATTATACTCTCTGACCCAGATGAAAGAGTCTTCCCGTAAATAAGCTTTTCTAGTTTTCTTAATTAGAGGCAGAATAGGTACTTTAATCATATGATAAAATACTATACTACAATTAAGCATCATCCTTTCAGGCTAATTTTTCAGATGCACTAATCTTTAATTTAATTTAATTGTTGTAGTCACCAGTTCGTGCCCATGTAAAATTCAGCTGCGGAAAGCCAGGCATGCATTCATCTACATTAATTCATCACTATGGCTACAGCTCCATGTTTTTAGCGAAAACATAAGTGCTGCACATGTAAAAGTGAGCAGCTCACAGTATGAATGTAACCCATTTAGTTTGCTGCAGTGTTCAGTATGTAATGTGCCAGATACAAAGACTCTACAGTAAATAGACTTATGCGTAGTCCGTGTTTCACAAGATGATGAAACGTACAGACAAGTGCACACTGACACATTCTAACATTCAGATGCACTTTAATCGTGGCCTAAATATTGCTTGGGTACATTTAAATGGATCATGTTTGAGTTAGATATTACATTTAGCCTCCATTTAACCTTTCATTAACATCAACTGAACACAAATCAGTTGAAACCAGCTAGTGAATAATTATTGTGACCCCTCTTCGCCCTCTTTTCCTGTCCTCTCTACATACAGTAGCCTGGTATTCGGAAAGCTCCAGGCTGTGTTAGTCAGATGCCAACAGCTGCCCCATAACTACAGCAGTCTCTGGATGTTTCCTGCTCTGTTCCCACTCATTTTCATGGAGCAGATGTTGAACTGTCAAACAGGAGCAGATTTTCCAGACCCTGTGCTCTCACTGTCTCTATTCAGGCCATATTGTCACTGTCCTTATTCAGTCAAAAACCTCATGCTATGTGATGCCAGAATAGGCTGTCTGGGTGCACTTTATACAGTATCACAATTACAAAGAAACGCATTGAATTAAGCATGAAATTTTGAAGTATAAAGGCTTGTAAAAATGTGCTCTACTAATCATATTTTTTCAGTGTACTTTATTTGCTTAGGCATATTGCAGATTATTTACTAAGAATAAACGCGTAAATCGGCTCGTGCAAATATGCACGCACATACTTACAGTAAATTAGGTTTGTGCTTGTGGTAATTGTCACAAATGTTTTGCATGTCTCCTTAATCAAACACACCTGATTCAGGTCATCAGCTCATTAGTAGAGATTCCAAGACCTGAAATGTGTGTGTCAGAGAAAGGAGACATGCAAAATGTGCAGTGATGGGGTGCCTCCAGGACCAGGGTTGGGAACCACTGTATTACAGTATAATGACAACAGTAGCATTATAAGGTTGGTAAGATCTGAATCTTTGATGGATTTAGATGGATGGATCAGACATGTTGTTATTGGTTAGAAACAACAGAATGCTACTACACAATCTACATGTTCATTAGATTTGGGGGGTTTCAAAACAAACCGGCTCCCAATGGGTAAAAAAAGAGGAGGTGGAAGGGAAATAAAGGAATGTTTGAATATTTATTCAGCCACTGTTTGGCTCTGGGTCCCACTGCTTCAGGCAGAGACCCCTGGAAGAGAAGGACACAGATCACTCTGTTGGAAATGCTTTTATTTAGAATTCCAGTTCTGACAGAAGAAGCCCACTGTGAGGAGAAAAATAATACTAAAATCCCCCACTTCCTATTCCAGAGCTATCCAAGCTAGTTTTAGCTCAACAATCCACACACACAGAGTTTTCTTGTAGAGGATCAAAATAGAGTGGTTTAAAAAGATAACCTACTTTTATCAAATCTGTATGGCTGATCCCTTTATCAAAGCTTGGAACAATGTAGTAGAATGTGTTCTTGTTTTGGATTAAAGAAATTAACTTCTCAGATTCGTTAAAGCAATACTTTCTCTACATCATATATGCACTACTGTTCAAAAGTTTGTTGTTAGTAAGGTTTATTTTAAGAAATTACTACTTTTAATAAGCAGGTCACATTAAATCAAAAGTGACCGTAAAGACATTGTTATTAATTATGAAAATAAATTCAGTTTTGCCATCACAGAAAACAAATTAAAACAGATTACAAATAGAAAACAAAATATTTTTAATCGTAATAATAATTAACACTAGCACCTTTTTACTGTATTTTTGATCAAAATGCACCATGGGTGAGTATGAGAGACTTGTTAAAAAAAACATTTAAAAATCTTACAAACCCCAAACTTTTGAGTGTTTATGTACATTAACTAAATAGGCTGACTAAATACTTTTTTTCCCCACTGTATAAAGGCTTGTAAAAATGTGCTCTACTAATCATATTTTTTCAGTGTACTTTATTTGCTTAGGCATATTGCAGATTATTTACTAAGAATAAACGCGTAAATCCTTACAGTAAATTAGGTTTGTGCTTGTGGTAATTGTCACAAATGTTTTGCATGTCTCCTTAATCAAACACACCTGATTCAGGTCATCAGCTCATTAGTAGAGATTCCAAGACCTGAAATTTGTGTGTCAGAGAAAGGAGACATGCAAAATGTGCAGTGATGGGGTGCCTCCAGGACCAGGGTTGGGAACCACTGTATTACAGTATAATGACAACAGTAGCATTATAAGGTTGGTAAGATCTGAATCTTTGATGGATTTAGATGGATGGATCAGACATGTTGTTATTGGTTAGAAACAACAGAATGCTACTACACAATCTACATGTTCATTAGATTTGGGGGTTTCAAAACAAACCGGCTCCCAATGGGTAAAAAAAGAGGAGGTGGAAGGGAAATAAAGGAATGTTTGAATATTTATTCATCTACTGTTTGGCTCTGGGTCCCACTGCTTCAGGCAGAGACCCCTGGAAGAGAAGGACACAGATCACTCTGTTGGAAATGCTTTTATTTAGAATTCCAGTTCTGACAGAAGAAGCCCACTGTGAGGAGAAAAATAATACTAAAATCCCCCACTTCCTATTCCAGAGCTATCCAAGCTCGTTTTAGCTCAACAATCCACACACACAGAGTTTTCTTGTAGAGGATCAAAATAGAGTGGTTTAAAAAGATAACCTACTTTTATCAAATCTGTATGGCTGATCCCTTTATCAAAGCTTGGAACAATGTAGTAGAATGTGTTCTTGTTTTGGATTAAAGAAATTAACTTCTCAGATTCGTTAAAGCAATACTTTCTCTACATCATATATGCACTACTGTTCAAAAGTTTGTTGTTAGTAAGGTTTATTTTAAGAAATTACTACTTTTAATAAGCAGGTCACATTAAATCAAAAGCAATACTTTCTCTATAATCAAAAGCAATACTTTCTCTACATCATATATGCACTACTGTTCAAAAGTTTGTTGTTAGTAAGGTTTATTTTAAGAAATTACTACTTTTAATAAGCAGGTCACATTAAATCAAAAGTGACAATCATAATTGTTATTAATTATGAAAATAAATTCAGTTTTGCCATCACAGAAAACAAATTAAAACAGATTACAAATAGAAAACAAAATATTTTTAATCGTAATAATAATTCATACTAGCACCTTTTTACTGTATTTTTGATCAAAATGCACCATGGGTGAGTATGAGAGACTTGTTAAAAAAAACATTTAAAAATCTTACAAACCCCAAACTTTTGAGTGTTTATGTACATTAACTAAATATTAATCAGGGTTAGGTTAAATTCAGATTTTATGTAATAATTTGTTGTTGAACTAGAATTTGATTTGGTGTAACCAGAAGGCAATTTACTGAATTTTGTGACAAAATCTAAACAATTTGGATTAATTATGTATGTTCATTCTCTGATATGCATATTACAAGTTGTAACACTTGTAACAAAATTTAGCCATATATTAATATAGCCATAAAGAGATCATTTTACCAAGCAGCAACACAAAATGTTCACCACATTGTTTGATATATTTATTGACAATTTATGATTTTATGATAAAATTTTCAGATTCAGTCTGTAATGATATTCATCTATACATATATTAGTCTACACATATATTATTGAACTAATACAATAATAATACTGATACTATAATGCTATAATACTACTAATAATAAAGAAATAAATACATTTCATAATCGATTAGTCCTTCATAATAAAGGTTTCTCTACTGCTAAGTGAGATTTGAGCAGTTTTACTATTTTACCTTTTTTATTTTAATGCCATTTCAATTCCTTCAATTCAAATTCTAACAATTCTGCATACTATCTTTGTTCAAATTCAGAAGTAGAATTTGGAATACAAAAGGCATTCTCAATTCCATTCTGAGAGCGCACAGCACAGCTATTCATATTTCTCTCTGTTTGTTGTCGTTTTCAGATAGAGCCAATGATTCAGAAGAGTCATGAGAATCTGGTTCATCATATTCTGCTCTACCAGTGTGACAGCGATCTGAACAAGAGTGAGATTAACAGAAGACATGAATGCTACCATCCAAATATGCCAGACTCCTTCTTCACCTGTGAAACTGTCCTGTTTGCTTGGGCTATTGGGGGAGAGGTGGTATTTCATAAGTTCATATTCATTCTAATAATAAAAAGTTTCAAATATTGAATAGAAATTATTTTTATCCCTTGCAGGGCTTCACCTACCCTCCTCATGTTGGAATGTCTATAGGAACCTCAATAGACCCAGTCTATGTACAAATGGAGATTCACTTCGATAACCCATCTTTACAAAGAGGTACTGTATGTCATGATACACTTCAATAGTTTAAAACCTGCCTCACTTGCTGCCCTAAGTGACATAAGGACCTTACAGTTATTTCCTGTGACTTTTTGTTAGTGTATTTTATGTATCTGTGAGTATCTTTTAAGTAATCAGTATAGTCTCCATGGTATATTACAGTGATTTGCAGCTAATAACTAATGAACTTTTCTGTAAGGTTTGAGTCTGAGCTTCTCAGAGTTTTGGTCTCACCACAGGGATAGTGGACAATTCAGGCCTGCGTTTGTACTACAGCCCCAGCTTGAGGCGCTATGATGCTGGGGTCATTGAGACAGGAGTGTGGGTCAGTCTCTACCACATGCTGCCCCCAGGCATGCAGGATTATATTACAGAAGGACACTGTACACAGGAGTGTCTCCAAGAGGTGGGACTGCACAAAAACACTCAAACTCATATTTGAGACCTACACTACTATTGAAACATTTGTAATCACTACGAAAGAGTGCTTTAGAAAAAATCAATACTCAGGATGCATTAAATTACAGTTAATTACATATTATTACAAATGACTATTTATATAAATAAACTCTGTTCTAAAAGTCTTTTATGCTCACCAAGACTGTATCTGTTTGATCAAAATAAAGTAAAAATAGTATTATTGTTTAATATTATTACAATTTAAAATAATAAAACATTTGTAATATATTTAAAATGGCATTGATTCGTATAATGGTAAAGCTGACATTACTCCAGTTTTCAGTGTCAAATGATTTTTCAGAAACCATTCTAATAGGCTGATTTGCTGCTTAAGTGACATTTCTTATTATTATCAATGTTTAAAACACTTGTGCTCTTTAATACTGCAGAGGAACTGATGATTTATGCATACTTGCTGAATAAAGGTATTAATTGGTAGTGAATAAAAATAGTATGCACATGACAGTGTATAAAAATTTTATTTTTTTTATTTTTTTATTTTCAAATCAAGCAATACCAATCAAATTACAAGCAATAATTGTCTTCAAAGACATACAAAAATGTCTTGGTAATTCCTAACATTTGAATGCTAGTGCAAGCTTCTCAAAATCCAGATTTTAAAAAAAAGAGGTATAACATGTGTCTCTCTTCCTGTAAGTCATTAGACAGCGAGATGCCCAGTGGAATTCATGTGTTTGCAGTTCTGCTCCATGCTCACCTGGCAGGACGGGCTATAAGAGCCAGACATTTCCGCCAGCAGGTCGAGCTCCAGCCACTAGCCTCAGACGATCAGTTTGATTTCAACTTCCAGGAGTTCCAGCCGCTCAGCCAGGAGAGGATCATCCTGCCTGTCAGTCAGAGTCCTTTTCAGTTTCATAATCTTCATTGCTCCATCTGAGGGTGAAATTGATGTTGCATTCATCATCAGATACAGTGAACCTCACAGTTTACTTTACCGATTTATGGAAAACCTAGAAATAGCAGGGGATTTCAAAATGGTGAATTCTAGGCTTGGAAATATAATGGATAAATCAAATGGTCAAAAGGTGTGGCTTCTCACAAATTTCCAGGCCTTGTAAGAACTCCAGCATGGGTTATTAAATGTTGATGTGAGGGCTTTTATCCCTCACAGTCTCGTTTGTGTCAAATTAAATATGCTGTTTACTCTGACTAAAGTCTTTAGATTGTTTTCAGGGCTCCTAGTTTATAGCTGAGGGATTGATAGTGTTTTAGCAGTAAAGAATAGAGCAATTATCATTATCTGCTCCAGTGTCTCAGCCTTAGCCAAGCACTTTGTATTACCTAAGAGTGGTGTAATAAATTCAACATGTAAAGAGCACACACTGTGCATCTGCAGGACTGGTGTGTGTTTAAAAGTGCCCACAGGCGAGAGGTGACTCATGTGTGAATTGTGACTTGTTATCCTGTTCTGTTGTGAAATAACAATCAGCAAGGTTTTAACAGTTTATACTCAAATGAGTTTCAATGGCCTATTCTGTTTGACAAGCACCCAACAGTGAGCATAATAGATAAGCAAATGTTTTTTGTAATTTGCTTTTAATATCTGTGTGTTAACCGACATGTTTTTCTGTCACCAGGGGGATTCTCTAATCACTGAATGTAGATACAACACTAAAGGCAGAATGAACATGACCTGGGTAAGATTAAGGCTCCTAAAGCCTTGTATGCTTTTACTAACAACAATTATATAGATTTGTGTCATATAGTTTGGCTAGGTTTCCTTGTGAATTACACCAATTATAGAGTTATTCATGATAGAAATCCTGGTTAACAGCAAGCTTATTCAAACTGTTCAGTCATGATGTCTGATTTGTAGGCCATTCTAGGGGTTAAATTAACATGGCTTCCTTTGGGAATTTATAAAGGGAATTTAAAATAGCTTTTTTTTTTTTTTACTTTCTCATTTCATTTACCAACTTAGTTCACCCCAAAATCTAAATTCTATAGTCTTGATTTGCTCGTGCCCCTTTTTTACAAGATGTAATATAAGTCTCAGGTGTCCCTAGAATGTGTCGGTGAATTTTCAGCTCAAAATACCACACAGATCATTTATAATGGCTATTTTCAGTGGAATAAGAAACAGGCTGTTTTCGTGCATGTATCTTTAAATGCAAATAAGCTGCTGCTCCCCACGACCCCACCCCCTTTTCCAGAATAGGGCTGTGCCTTTACAGCGCGTACTTCAGATACTCTGCCAAAAAACAGCTGTTTGGTTTTGATTATTATGTCTGTCATGCTGAAATCATGCATTTTAAAGCCATGTCAATTTAAACTTCTGATATACTGTTTTCTGAGAGCACACATCTGAAACACATGCACACGAAACGGCTGTCACATGGCATGTGAGTACTAAACATAGTTCTCTTTCATGTCTTACTGCGCTTAAACTGTCAAATACACACAAGTTTATGTTAAAAACACACATGAGTTACAAAAACACAGTCGGTTATATCTGTGAAGGTAAACAGCTGGGAAAGAAATCGCATGTTTATAAGATCTATGTATTAAGTTACAGCCGTGTAATATACGTTCTCTACGCTGTAAATATGACCCAAACAGTAAAATAAAAACAGAAAATCAGTCACTGCTCTTGACCGAATAACTTCCATAGCTTTAATAAGAAGACATTTCTTACTTGAATGCTGTTTTTAAATGCTCTAGTGTGAAGATAAACATGGCGGATTGTGTGCGGCTCACTCAGGGTGGGGTCTCTGCTAATACGGCAGTGTCCGTCAACAGTCGTGGGCGTTAAATGTGACATTGCATTTTACTGATTCTGCAAACGGCTTGTTTTGAGACACTGCTTATAATTTATGGGGATTAAAAAAAGGAGCGGGTGGATTTTTATCATTATAGGGTGGATGTGTACACACACTGTCAACACACATTTATGTTCAAACAACATGTAAAAGTGAATTTTGCATATTAGGTGTCCGTTAATGTCATTCCAAACCTGTGTGACTGACTTTTTTTCTTCTGTTGAATATAAATAATATCTTAATATCACAGAAGAAAGACATACAGATTTGGAACAACATTTCAAGACACAATTTTCGAATTACAAATTAGCTCAAATATAAATTGTTAACCTGTTATGTCTTTTAAAAATGTAAGTTGCTAATAAGAATTACCATAAGGATGGCAGTTTACATGCTTGACAAATTGCTCAACCATTATAGTCCAAGTGTAGTGTGTGTTTCTTCTAGAAACAAAAACATTTACAAACAAAAAACTAAAATTTTATATTAATTAAGCATTCTAAAAACGATTCAGAAGGAACCCACTGCACGATGATGCAAATCCTTTTCCACATTTTAGGACTACAAACTGAACAGCTCTATTAGAAAAATGTCTTTGAATCTCTTTTTTTTCTAGCCGGTCTGTGTAAGACTGCAAGCTCTTTTGGCTAAACAATGTGTCCGCAAACAGCTGCAGGTCTCTGGAGATGGATCCAGCTGCTGACATTTTTCCATACACATGTAGCCAGTGAGCTGCACTCCTGATAGGCTGAGCGGAGCTGCTTTTTCTCTGTAGATTGTCCACAATCCATAAACATCAAGGCCAAATCACTGGTGTTTTGGATTCATATTAGAGAGATCAAGATATATTTGCTGCTCTGTGCATGTCAGTTCAGCTTTGCTGAGTACTGGGCATAATTTGTCACAGGCCTCTGGCTGTAACAGTGATTCAGATGCATTATGTCAGTGTAGTACTTCAAGGTCTTGACCCTAGTAATGTGGAATTTTTTTTTCTACAGGGAGGTCTTAGTACACTGGATGAGATGTGTTTGTCATATCTGCTGTACTACCCCAGGGTCAACCTAACCAGGTGTGAAAGTTTACCAGAAATCATCGGCCAGCTTAAATTCATTGGGGTCAAAGAGATCCACGAGCCTGTTACGTAAGTCTGAGAAACCACTTCAGTGAAGGGTGTTTACTTATTGAATGAATCAGCTTTTTGAACGAATCGGTTGATAAAAATGATTCATCTTTACAAGAAGATGTGCCATCTTGCTCCTATCAGAAAGTACAAATTGTTTGTCCGACCCACAGCAACATCTGGAATGGTCAATGTAAAATGTGTTTGTCTCATTCTAAGAGACCTAAAAAAAATTAAAAAAAAGAAAGACACTCTGAAACCACAAGCCACAAGGCCCTCAGACACATGGGATCATATCGTGTTCATCCCTCTTGCAATTTGAGATCAAACTAAATAAATCCATCAATCTTAAAGACTTCTCTCCTTTCACATGTTTCTGGAATTTTAGTTATGCTAAACATGACATCTGTGGTCATTATAACACCACTGTTGTATAACCCATTATGTTAGCAACACATTCAAACATGGTGGTTCTACAACAGTCATCTTGAAAGATAAATACATCTTGGCTAGTTTTAGGCAGAACTAGCTCTTTGAGATGTTATCGCAGCCACAGTATAAATCAAAGATATACTGTATGAGTTTTAAGGGAGGTTCATGTCTCAAAGCAGCTGCGATTTACCGGTTCTGTGGGCGTCTGCTGAGCCGCTGATGTTTTGTACAGATTCCTTTCACTGCTTTGTATAGATAAAAAGAGATGTGTGGTTTGTTATGTCCGCACATGTTTGTTTGTGATTATGTGTGTTTTGGATGGACGTGGATGTGTGTGTACGTCTATAAATGAGGAACATCTGAAGAGCCCTGCTGGTGGAGTGTGTTTATTCCACCCCCTGAGGCTCAGAGCAGTATTGCGCTCAGATGCTGGAATAAGGGGTATTTTAAGCGGATAGACCTGGCAACTCTAAACAGATTTAGTTTCAAAGCTCTGCCCCAAGCACCCTCTGTCTTTCGATCACCACACACACACGTGCACATATAAAGCTCATTGAGCAGAAATAGTTGCCTCAGGAGTATCTTTGATCAGTCAGTAAATTAATGACGCTCAAACCATCATATACGCTGAGGGGAATGCAATAAAAGGTACCAAATAAATTAAATAATTAATTATTTTTAAATTATATCTATATATTTTTTATTTAATTTCACAGATGAAGTGTAAGTTATCTAAGTAGCAGAAAAGCTAGAAAGATTAATTATTACCTTTATTTACTATTGCAGATTATTTACTCATTTACACTTAAAAAATGTTTTTAAATAAGTAAAAATGTAAGCTTCCAAAAGCATCTGAAAAGTATCATAAAAGTGGTTCAAAGTGTCCATTAAAATATAAATAAATCATTAATTAATTTATTTTAACAGATCAATCAATTTAAATTGATCAGACAACATTTCTTTCATGAACAAACCAATAAGACAGATAGATCTTTCAGTAAAAAGTTAATTTCTATCATTTGAATTCAAAAGAGTAATATGGACAAAAGTGTCTCTGAATTTAAAAGAACTATATAAACACATTTTATGGTACTTTTTCAGGTGCTTTGCATCCTTTTTGAATCTTGAAAGCTCCAATATAGAAAACTCTATCAAAATCTATCACTTTGCAAGTAAGGTTGTGATATTAAGTAAATGTATCAAATTATCTCTTTTGCTCTTTGAAGAACTTGGCCCTTTGTGATTAAGAGTCCTAAGAAATACAGCAACCTCTCCTTCACGGAGGCCATGGACAAATACAAGTGGACAAGGAAGAGAGGGAAAGCATTCAACGACATTGTACGCAAACTCCCCATGAACGTTCGCTGCTCCAAGATCGGCCAGGATGAGTGGTCGGTGAGTGATTTTGATTACACAGGAGTCTATACCATATTCTTTTATTTTCTATATATGCACATGCGAATAAATGCATCCTTGGTGAGCATGACAGATTTCTTACTGACCTCAAATGTTTAAACTGTAATGTAGCTTATCCACATCAGAAAGCTGATTCAAGTTCTTCTTTCTCTCTCTATTAGATTCAAGGGGTGATCATCTCTCCTCCAGAGCTGAAGTCAGAGCAGACGTCGGCTGCTGTCGTGGCCTGTAGGAATGTCTCAGAGATTCAATGTGGACGCTCCCTCGCTCTGCTCCTCACTGCATGTCTTTTGCTCATTCTACAGACCTGCTTACACCTCTAATGTCTGCTGTAATCTCAGCCCCCATGCCCACTCATAAACATACATACAGCAGGTTCCCATCAGGCCTTGTGTTTCCCAGAAACAGTGATGCTCAAGATTTACATCACTCTTACTTAGCCTAAATCAATTTTATCACTAGCACTGATCACAACTGTGCTGTATTCCTGTAGGATGTAGGCATCATGCATGCTTCACATGGAATATCCTTGGTTAACAGATACTGCGGTCTTGACAGCCTCTCTAACAAATGCCTCACCATAGTTGTAAATCTTAATAATCTCACCACATGTTTGAAATAGGCTGTCACACTCCAGTACACCACAATTTATGTCTTGTGGGTTAAAGGGATAGTCCACCCTAAAATTTACATTTTGTCATCATTTACTCATTCTCATGTCATTCCAGTTCTGTATGGCATTCTTCTATGGAACACCAAAAAAAATTGTATTGGTGTTTATTTTTGTATATTCATTTAAAGTCAATGAGTTCCACTGTTGTGTTGTACCCCATTGACTTTCATTGTACGAACAAAAACAGTCAGAACTTCTTTATGAGCACTGTCATGCAGTCTTCCTCAGAAGTGGTGTAAATTTTTCAATACATTCCTGTCGCATTGGTAGTTTTATTAAAAGTAAAAAAAAGTGAAAAATGCTTTTAAAAAGTCACTGTCTAACACATGCAAATGCATTCAGCCCAGAGCTCTGCGCATTGTGTTCCTCTCATTATAAGCTCAATATGTGTTTCATAAAGAAATGCTAGCATTATATTCAAAACCATTACATTTTATATGCTGTCTGTCTTTTTAAGCAATACATTTTTATTTCTTGTAAATATTTAGAGACTTATTACTGTATTTGTAGCTGGAGTTTTTAATGAAAATAGTAATGGCATTTTATATTACACATGTATGTTAGGTAAACATGTTTATTGTGTTTTCTTCGCATTATTTAATTTAGTTTAGTTGCTTGTTTGCTTTTAAGGTTTTGTTCATCTGAAAATGAAAATGATTCTTTCATATAATTAAAAAAAGGAGAACCTTTTACGAATGTTGAATATCTTAAACAGGCTCTTCTTCAAGACTAGAACTAGTTAGGATGTATTTCACAGTTAAAGTGGAGATCAAAATTAGAGAACAACCTACAATTTCCTAAATTTCAAGGTCATTGCTTAGTCCTATTTGAAGTTATCCTAACAGGAGCAGAAGGGCATGTTTCATAAATTAATTGTATTCTGAAGCACAGTATAAAAAACCTTAATGAAATATTTTAAAAAGAACTGATCAAAATTAGAGAACACTTACAGATACCTACAAATTATTGGTGTTAATCTGGCACCTGTTGCAAATTTCCTTAATTATGGCAAACCCTATAGCATTCCTCTAATTTTCACTGAGATTGTAAAATGGCGGGCCATGGTGACAGAAATCCGGCAACAGGAGGTGGTCCAGACTCTAGATGAAGGCCAAAGGGATGACCTATTCAGCCACTGCAAGAGAAGTTTGTCATTCCAAATCTGTGATTTCTCGAATATTGCAGGTTTACAATGATGCTAATTTATTCAAGTTCCCCAATAAGGCTGGTCGTCTACGTAAGAAAAATGAATGAGAAGACAGCAGAATTTGGTGACTCAATGGGGAATTGGTTCAACACTGCAGCTGGAATTGCTTGCCAGTTCAGCGATGAACAGGCTACGGATCTGTCTTAGCACGTTTAAGAGAATTTAAACTGAAAGCCCACTCTGCAGTGACCGAGCCTTTACTGAGGACAATGTTGTGTGGAGAGAGGAGGACTGGTCCAAGGTTTACATTAGTGATGAGAGCAAGTTTAATTTATTTGGGTCTGATGGCAAACATTATGTTCGTCGAAACTGTCATGCTTTGGGAGATGTTTTCATCAGCAGGAGTTGGGTCTCTTATACACCTTCATGTCAGGGTGAATGCAAAATGTTTATCAGAAACTCCTTCAGCAACATGCAGTTCCTTCACTGCAAGTATCTCCCAATCAGCCAGCAATTATCATGTAAGACAATACTCCTGTCACACTGCAGAATGGGTAAAGCAGTTCCTTGAAGCTGAAAACATTGAAATAATGAAATGGTCGGGCCAGTGTCCTGATCTATACCCAACTGAAATTCTCTGGAAAATCATTGGCAACACAGTTATGGTTAGGAAACCTACTACAGTCACTGAACTGTGGAAGAGAGTAGAAGAGTGGACCAAGATCACACTAGAGCTGTGTGAGAAACTGCAGCTGCAGATGTGCTGAAGTCATTCAAAGCAAGGTCCTCTACACTTCCTACTAATATCTGACAGCTGTAACCCTCCAAAATTGTAATTGTAATCTTCTATGCTACAGCAGTTACTGTTAACTTTGATCACTGTGTTTTCCACAAAATAAAGGTTTTTGTTGAAAAGCCTTGTAAATTTTGCCGAACGTTAGTAGAACAGTGGTATACCTACAGTTGATACTCCTTCAAATTTTGAGCCATGAAAATTTAGTATTTAGTATTTATAGATTGTCACGTATTTATAGATTGTTCTCTAATTTCATCTCCACTGTATTTGAGATGGTGAAGTTGAAGCTGAAGGGATCTGATTGTTCTGGAGGCTCGCAGTAGATTTATCCAGTGTTACAGCAGAGTACTGTAAGCCCACTGTTACCGCCTGGGAGTCCCTGGTACAGCACGGAACATCTCTTGTTAAGGCCTCCAGGCTCACTCACTCTCACACACACCAACACAGCAAAAATGTGCCAATGTGTGCTCGAGAATGCCACAGACCGGTCCTTCCCTCAGTCTCTCATTCCTAACTGTTTCCAACCAGCCCCTAGATGTTCTTCAAGAGCGGTAAGATTTGTTTACTGTTTCCTGCTTAGCCCATGATGGCTCTAATGAAGGGCTAGTTGTGTTGAAAAGATGACTGTGCCACAATTGACAACCTGAGAATGAAAGAGGGAGAGAGAGGAAGTATGATCTCACTTCTTTTTCTTTCTCTTCCAAAGAATGTCTTTTATACCTCATGCCTTTTATGTTGGTGTGTTTAGTCGTATTATAATAGACATATGGAAAACAACAGCCAGGCATCATGGGTCTTAATAGTTAACGGCCTGCTATAGGAGGTTGCGGTCATAGCAGAGTTTAGGAGAGGAAGTCACTGATGTAATACAAGTACAATAGCCTTTGGTTTGGGACTACACTTCTTCTTCTTGTCAGCTGGAGCCGTGAAAAGAGTTTTTGTGACTGAGACTTTCCAGGCTGGGAAAACCGATATTCATCAGTTTAGCCACATCACAGGAACCACAGATGCTTAGATGGTGTCCAAAATCTCAACTGATGTAAAGAAACAAGAATTAAAAAACATGTACAGTATTTGTGGTTGAGTTATTGTTTGTACTGTGGCCTAAACTGAGTTATATAAAGTAGAGAGGATTAGTTGAAAAAGTCATGTTTGGGAGTCTAACAGTCTGAGCTGAACTTTTAACTGAGGTTTAGATTCTTGTAATGGAACATCACAGACAGTTGAGAATATGACAGGGTAACGAGAAAGCTAACACATCCTGTACTGCCAAGACAACTTCCTGTTGGTTTTGTTTCCATTTTGACTAAGGCTTTATATAAAACTTTGCTGACCTCTATGGTTTTAAAAATGCATGGCCTACCAACAGTTTGGCTTGAAAACATTTTGTAACATTAATGTTGTTGACGTTATTATTGATAAATTCTTAATATTTTTAAATTATGTGAACGACTGAAAACCTGACGTAAGATTTTGAGGCATTTTGTGTTGCTTCACGGTATTTCAGATCATTCCCATAATAGCCAGCAGAGGGCAGTGTTTGCGCATTCCCATAATAGCCAGCAGAGGGCAGTGTTTGCTCATTCTCATAATAGCCAGCAGAGGGCAGTGTTTGCGCATTCCCATAATAGCCAGCAGAGGGCAGTGTTTGCTCATTCCCATAATAGCCAGCAGAGGGCAGTGTTTGCCAGGGATGGAAATTACTTACTGGTTCCTTTCTGTCATAGTGATCTCTAAACACAGAGATGTTCTCGTCTAGTTTGGAGAATAGTTAAAAGTGTTTACTAGTGTTTACAGCCTCATGTTTCTAGTATGATTTATGTATAAACCTATATTGACATGATACTTTCTTAATATAAAAAAAAGTTCCACTGTGTTTTCTGGACATGATACCATGGTTTGGACATTTATCATGATATTTTTTTTATTTTTTTTTTAATGGTTGGTGTACCATTTGAATACAATGGTATATAAATAGTACTATTCTATTTTTTTATTGCTATCTTAAATGGCACATGTCCAAAAAACATGGTAGTACTAATAGCAAGTTGATTTAAATATTGAAAGATTGTTCAATGGTTTTCTGACATATGCACCAAGTCTGCCTTTTATTAGTTTGCTTGTAACATCTGCGTCATTTAAAGTAATGTTTTTGTTCCATTAAAAGTCCTTTGCTAAAGTACGCTTGTAAATGGCAAATCCCATCTGCTCCTTTAGTACATTCTGTCCCCGCTCATGCACTTTTTGATTCTGCCAGTAATTCATGTCGCTGAAACTCAGAATAACCAGATAAAAATATTCTATATGTCACTTTAAGGTTCAACTATGTTACAAAATAGTCGAAGCATTACTGGAATTCATCCCAGAACGACAAATGACTAAGACTGTTTGCTTAAAATAGATGTCATATTCATTCAACATCCTCAGAAGCTTATAACACCACATTAGATTTATATAAATATTATATGACTTTGGAATGAGGAGCTTTGAGGCACTGCACATGCTCCAAACTACTGTCGCTGAGGTAAAACCCACTGTTTGTCTCCCAATCTTGGTTTCCTCATTAGGAGTTTGAGGTCAGCGTTTAGAATGTAACCAGAGTACTGTAGTCTGGGAGCACACTGACCTAAATATTCCTCTATAGACCTAAAACCAAACTTTTACTGTTTTCCAGTAAATGGTCCTGTTGAGAGAGAGAAATAACACCTTAAACCAACCTAATTAGCTGGGTTAAGCTAGTTTCCCTAGACTAGCTAACTTAAGGATAGTTCACCCAAGAATTAAAATTCTGTCATAATTACTCACCCTCATGTCTTTCCAAAACCCATAAGACATTTGTTCATCTTCAAAACACACATTTTTGATATTTTATTTCCTTTTTATTTGGAAAGTGATGGATGCCATCCGAAACCAATCAATGAATGATAAGTGGTATGAATATAGTGTTATCAGTACAGATTTGTTTCCTTTTGATTGTGGACTTGAGAGCAGAACTCATGCCCAGTTTCATTTGTCTTTGATTCCTGAATCCCACTGAGAGCTGGGCCAAATGTACCAGAGTGCTCTGCCAGACATAGTTTTACACTGTGCCAGCCCACGGGAAATACATTTCTGTATTTATCTTTATCCGGAGGGAAAGGAAATAACTGCAAACTACAACTCTAGTTTGAAACGTACATTCCTCTACTGCCCAATAAAAAGGTTCCAGCTAGCATTCATTTACGGGCGGATTCAAGGGGCTCCTCCACAACACATTCTGTCAAATTCATCAAAACCTCCACGGAATGCAAACTTTACTTTGGAGCGATCGCGTTGTCCGTGTTGTAGCAGCTCCATGTGTGCAGATGCTGTGTGTTTGCTCATGAAAGGGCATATTTGAGCTCTGTAAAAAAATACAGTTCACATCTTGCCTCAGGCCTCAAGCCTTGGTACTTCAAGGACGGGACCTTTGACTTAAG